ATATGATACTCGTTCATGAAAACTGGTGCATCGTTAATACTGATATAAATTCTCATTCTATTGTCGATCATTCGTATAACAACTCCTCCTAATTTAAAAGAAGCAATTATGTTTCTGGTGATTGTTTTTTCTTCAATTATTTCGATTATTTTTCGAAGGTGAACAGAAATCAGAAAACCTCTATCCATGTTTCTGTCTTCATTGTTTCTTTCTGTGATTGGGTCGGTGATCCTTTTTACATTTCTAATCCACTTAGTCATAACCTTTTCAATCTCACTGGTGTTCAAAACATCTACAGTGAACCTATCCGTTGTTGGAACAAACGCTCCAGTAGTTACATGTTGATCCATGTTTATGTTTCGAGAAACAGTTTTTACCATTGGGATGTGTGATGCAGCACTTTTTTAATAACACCGAAAAGACACAAGTCTAATGGTTGAACTAAGTGGCTTGTGTGTGGTACAAAAAGTGTAAATGAATGTTGTATGAACGAATAATTTGAATCAAGTTTTCATCAACATGAGCTCCAAAATTGTCCATACAAATGACACTTTTGTCAATGGTTTCCAATTTTAAGTTGATCTTCTTGTTGACGATGAATGGAAGGAGAACGTTGAGCATCCAGAAAACAAAAATCTTACGGTTGACAAATCCAGTTTTGCTCTGAAAAACACTTAATAGCAGATGTTCTGCTTTGATTTTTGCATCAAACTTTACGTTTGGTATAACAGATGCAATAGGACATTTAGTCCCATCTGCACAGATGCACATGATAATAGTGCTGCATTTTCCAGATCGGCTTATTCCATACTTCAATTTCACTTCTGGATTTTTCGTAAAAACTGTTAAGTTCTCTTTGTCTGTCCAATCGCTAAATCCAACCTCATCTATATTAAAGAACAAAGCAGAACACGTTCCATTAAAGTTATCGGAAAGTGTAATATAATTGTTGACAACTTTCTCGTGATATATGTTTATTCTTTCCAGTTCTTCCGTTTTTGCTGTTCGAGTGAAGTATTGATGCATCTGTTTTATGATACCTCAACGAGTCATTTCAAATTAATCATCAAATAAACGACATACCATTTTCAATTAAATGTGGGGTAACACTTTCATGCGAAGTATCGCATATTTGAAAAAGAGCTGAAATCGCAGTGTCCATCACATTGTTGATTTTGCACACATGGGAAGTAGTCGAGAGCGTCTGTTTTAAATGAGTATGTATTGCTCCTCCTTTGATACCAAATAACACTCCGATTGTTTCTTCTGTTGGAGGTGATGTTTTGGAAATATTACGAATATATCTAATTTGCTCCACTTTAGTTTTGAGAATAAACGGTATGTCGCTGATTTTTGTGTAAAGTTCCTTTGCTGCTCTTAAAACATTTTCCGTTTTCTTTCTAGTTTTTTCGTCTTGATTATTTATTTCATTTTCGTAATTGGTGATATTGATAACCATATTTTCGAGACTTATCGCTGATTCTCGTCTTTCTTTTTCGATGGGAACAATAAAAGGAGGAACAAAGCTATCCGATTTTACGAAGTTTTCGATAATCATTTTTAATGTAAATGAAGTGTCGTGAGTAGATTCAATTTCCATTATTGTTGTGTTGTTATTTAGTGTTTTTACCAATAAAAAAATGCAAAATTATTTTAACTATCAGTTTAATCAATTGATTATTTTATTATATTAATTAATTTGTTTAATTATGATAATTAACAATTTTTAATTTTTTAGTTTATCAAATGAAATTAATCATTTTTATAAATAATTAAACTAATTTAACAAGAAAAAAATATAAATAAAAAATATTTGGGACCGTCCTTTGCCACCACCACCTCTTAAAATAGAACATTATATATATAACATTTATATTTTTTTGTTTTTCAAAATAAAAAAAAATAATAACAATTTTCTGATGTACTTCCCATAACAATATTTTTTTATATTATTCAATTAACAAAAAAATTAAATTAATTTAATTATCATTGTAGTTTCAAATTTACATTGTTGGGAGTTTGTTTTTGTGCAAAAGAATTTATTATTACCCCATCTCATACATTTTAAGCATCTATTTGAACAATTTTGCTTGTTGTGACCAACAACATTACACAAACTACACTTCCTTATTTGTTTTTATCCCAAAACCTCCCTTTCTTGTACGATGTGGTTTTGTTGCATTGTTTCTTTCCACTCTATCGACTAATACTCGTGGTCTTTCTCCAATTTGGTGTTGTGTTTTTGGATCCCTGATGTTCACATTTGTGTGATGAGCCAAATTTGTAACAGTAGAAGATGTTTCACTACTAACGACTGTTGTGTGTATTTCGTTGGGTGATGCTTTACATTTTTCACTTGGATCTCGACATTTTTCTAAAAACGAACGCAGTCTGTCCTTGAGAAACAAGCTGCTTTTTATGCCGGCTCCACTTCTTCGAGACGATAATGAAGATCATTGTGGTCACATAAAGAGTCAGAAAAGTATTCATGGTGAACACTTATCGTGTGTGTTGTCTTTTTGTATAAATTTCCTATAAGCTTTTCTCTTGAAAAAGCAAGAACTGGGAAAGGAAAAATTGAAAATTCGACATACAATTTGGCCATATGAATACATGGAACATTGGTCGTTTGATAAGCTTTACACTCACACCAAGTTGTCGTACAAGGTTGTTGAGTTGAACACGCCACAAGCTCATTAGAATGTTTATACATATTACAAAGACTATCAACAACACCACAACTAAGAAAGTGAAGTATAGTTGGTGGTATTATTAAAAGTGTGGTTGTAGTGTCTTGAAATACTTCTCCTTGCAAGTTGGATCAC